CATTCAACCTCACCTTTGGACTATTCATTTAAATACCATCTAACTTCGACAAGCAGAGGTCAATGCAAGTATATAAAACATCCTTCTCCATCAAGAGGAGAAACTTTCCTCAATCATATAATTTGACTAATAACCTGCAATAAGTACTCTTCTCATATATGATGAGATCTTAGGGGTTAACCTAAGATTTAAATGTTTAACCTTTCCAAAGTAATTCGATCACCATTCATTATTGCAAAAACTTATTCAAAGATAAAATAAGGTTACTTTGATTAGTTTGTTAATTACGTCTACATTGATCTCTAGGAAGACCAAATTAATAACACATCCTCGTTGAGGTTAGGCCTTTTTGCACATGAGGCAATATGAGTAGAAGGGGATCACTCAAAATTACTCAAGGACACTTAAGCATGGTGCTTAAAGAAAGCAGTGCAAACACAAGGCTAATTCTTACTCGATTAAAGATAATGGTGATTATAACTTTCTAACAGTTAATCTAAGCCCATAAGATAGTTCCCTTTAGTTAAGGCAATGCAGATAATGGAAGGAGGCACTGCAAATGGTCTTTGAACACCACCTTGCTTGCACAAATTGTTATATTAGTTGGCAAGAAGAAGAAAACATATGTCTTAAGTCATGGAAGCTAATGATCTTCGCTAGTTGGATTAAAAATAAAGGTTAGAGATTTTCATCACTAAGATTAGCTAAATGAACTTAGAAAATTCTAAGGCTTGGGGATGCCTTGATTATAATAATCCAATTAACTTGATTCTTAATGTAGCTAGCATTAGTTTAACTCGGGTTATATACGCTTATTTTAAGCTTGGTCATGCTTGGTTGATTCATACGCACCCAAGGGAATAAATGAACTAAGAAAGGATCAATTTTGCCAATGTGTCATTCAAATCCATTTAGTAAGGTTAGTTTGACCACATTGACCTATCAATAGGGTGAGTGAGCTTGAGCAGCCCCTTTATCTCTTTTAGGTTCAATGAGCTCAATTTAAATCAAAGATAATGCCAAATTAAGCTAATACAATCTTTAATTTGAAAAGTAAAATCCCTTTGAGAAATTGTTAGGCTAACTTGAGTGTAACCTAGGTTAGCTTGGTGTTAAATAGGTCTATAATTCCTTAAATTCCTAATAAACCTAAATCCAACATATTGTGACTTATGGCATATTCAATTAAGACTTATTGAGCCCCAATTAGGGATTTGCGCTAGGTTAGGCTAGAACTTTAGGCAACTAAGGTTAAGCCCGGATTTAAACTAAGCCATGAAGACTAAGGGCTTTTTTAAGCCATAAGGATCCAAGTTTATCCTCACTTAGCATAAGCTAGTTTTTACTAAGCCAATATGAGTATGATTTGAGATTACCTACAGCTTGTGGTGATATTAGATTGATAAAACAAAAATCGGATCAAGGTCCTTTGAATCTCTTAAGATAGGTTATATCAATTTTAATCGGGCATTTTGTTAAATTAGAGTGACACTTGAAATAATTAAAAGTAATATTGATTATGTAAGCCTACAATTATGGTACATAAGTGCCTTTAAAGCAAGAAAATTACCTTATTAAACTTGACCAAATCACACTTTGAGTTTGGTTAAAAAGTCATGGGATTATATGGGCTTTTTTGGCATATTAGGTTAATGTTAGGATTAAGAGATTCAAGCTTAACTTATCTAATTACCATCTATAAATTATTTTGGTGTGTGTTTATAAGTGTGACACTGTGACCAAATGGGTGGTCAATAAAAAAAGAAGAAAAAATTGGAATTCAAAATCTATGGATATATTTTGAGATATGTGCAATACAAATTCTAAATGTATTGAACTCATCCCAAGATAAACCCAATAATTTTGAATCATATTCTAACAAAAATTTTGATAAGATATTCAAAGTCAATCAGGAGCTTATGTATGATCCTTCATATTACCATAAAATAAGTTATTTTTAAATTTTGTCAAAACCATTACCTAAACATAGCAAGGTTATAATTTATGCTTATTATATGTAAATTATAAAGTTCATCAAATTGTGTGTAGTCATTCAATTGATTATATATATATATATATATATATTCTGAGAAGGATTCAAACTTAAAGTCATTTAGTGTAATATCCAGTGAAGCAATACATAGTTGTACTTGTTTTGACCCGATTCAGTAAGGATAATCCATTGAAATTTTTACATTTATATTTCTCTCACTCAATATCAACAAAATAGGTAAAACAATAAAATAGTACAGTACAAAGAGCATTAAATTAACTAATAATCCCGTAAACCAGAATAGGCACAAATTCAATGAAATAGTGACCAACCATGTCATAGTAGTACTTATTCAATCAGTAAAAAAATCATATGAATCGGTACGATAAAAGTCAGGATAAAATTAATATAATCACATCAATGCACTAAAATCGTATGCAAGATTATATGCCATATCCAATCATTTTATATTAGTATCAGTTGAGTATATTAGTCACATGTTCAGTGTATCCATTATATCATATAATTGATATTAATGAATTAGTAAAAAATAATGGTATCAATGAATCAGCATTAACATAAGTGAATTAGTAACAGTATCGTTGAAAATTGTAACAATAGAGAAGTACAATGACAGTAATAGTAGAGCAATACAGTAATATTAATAGTAAATACGCACAATAATAAATCAATGCAATAACAGTGAGGTCGAACAGTAATAATGAATCAATAACATTTATTCTAATAATCACACTAAACAAGTAAAGAGTTTGGCTTGCACGATGTTTTTCTCTAGTTGTCAATATCAGTAGTCAGTAACCTTTGGCTCAATAAACAGAGTCGTCACTCTCTATCCGTCGGCACAGTTATAACTCATTATAACTTAGCATATGTGTATCAATTAATCAGTAGAGGATAACACCGAACTACAATATTTAAAGGAAAGTCTGTCGGCTAACCATCCTATACAGGTTAGTTAGTCTTCAATCAACATTAGTAAAACTATCTTTTTACTTATTTTCACCTATTTTAGTATCACAGTATTGACACATCAATAGCGACGAACTATCACACATTCACATATAAGGTTCATTCATAATGTTTGTATTACTAATATGCTTAAATAAAATACCTATTGAGAAAAAATTCATTGTTTCAAAACATAACCAAATTATCAAAGATTATACACAATATCATTTTAAGACTTCAAACATACTACAACACTATTTTTTAGAGTCCAAATTATTTTTTATTCAATAAAAATTTCACAAATCATAACACCGAAGAGAACATTTTAAGAAATATTCAAAATGTTTAAAATCTCAATCTCTATGACATATAAAAAGTTACATAGTGAAAAATTTGACAATGTAAAGTTATCCTCATTTTTTTTAATGAAAATAACAATTAAAAACTGATATAATAATAAGTAGACATTCCTTGATTTGGACAACTTCCTCAACCTGGCTAACATTTAAAAATAATCCGAAACAGTTGAAAATTAGGTTTCTCTCTCTAAAGCCCGTCTATTTCTCTCTCTAGTTTCGACTACCACCCATTGAAATAAATTGAACAATGGTTTTTCAAATATATTTAAAGTGTTGTTGGTGGTTTAGTGATGCGGTGCTACTATCTAACACTGTGGTGCTAGTTTATTTTCCAAAAATACAAGAATATAATACTAAAATGTCACTATTCGGCGTCTGGTACTGTAGCATCACTATAATGCTCGAATACCTAATATTGTGGCGCTCAAATAATATTATTTTTCAAATTTTGCCAAAACTCACTCTAGACCCTTGAGACACATTCTAGTACACATGCAATCTTTTTCAAGCATTAAAACACTTCCAAACACATGCAAATGTGTTCAAAACACAAAATTTTAAATCTTTATTTTTTACACTTTCGAGCTATTACGCTAGCATTGAGAGTCATAAGTATCTGAATTCTGATATTTGATTTTGACCGGGAGATATAAGGGCTTGAGAGAGATTTATTATTTTCTATTTTGATATATGGAATGATAGCTTATTTTCTTTACGTACATTATTATTTAATTCTATCTAATACAATTAAGTATAATTAACTGATTTTAAAACTCAATTAAGTATATAATGAGTTAATTATTGAAAGTTTAGATTGATGAGTATTACTTATTAAGCTACGTTAGTTCACACATATTCTGCATTTTTTTTTAGGTTAGAAAAAGAGAAAGAGTTGATTGAATAGCTATTATCCTAAGTTTTGATCTAAGTCTATGTGTTTTCTAATTTTATAATTTTGTACAATTAATGCTAATTCTTTATTTGTTCTATTATGGCATCTAACACTGGAGTGTATAATTATTACATATAAATTTTGATGATAAATAAAAAGAAAAGAAATTTATAAATGAGTTTGTTTTATGTTCAATTGGAAACTAATTAATATCTCCATGGTTTATTTTAAATTAAAAAATATAAAAAAAATCTCAAAAACCTTGATCATGAGTTTGACCAGTCACAATCCAGCATGATATACCATATTTTGTGACTCATATTGAATTAGGTTGTGACACTTAGGCCGAGACGACTGAATTACGTCGATCTGCATAATTCTACCGATTTCTCGCAAAACCCATATAATGCCACTCAGGTTTTCTATCATTTGCACCATATTTGAAACAACACCCTAAACGCCCTTAGGATCCCCCAGATACACAATAGCATCATTGATTGATCTTCAAGCGATCAAACTTGTTTAGACGGCAATAAGCATTCCGGATCGCAACTCTAACTCTAACAGGAAATTATTGGGTCAGGTCACCGGACGTGTTCGGAGCCCAATAAGCATTCCGGTACTCAGTACTTCACAGTATTGAGCTCAGTACTGCTCAGTACTGTGAATACCAAACGTAAGCTGTGTCCAATGACTTGACCCGATAATTTCCCAACTCTAACATATCCAGCTCAAAACAACGGCACTATTTCGGCATAAATAAGGAGAACTCGCTTGCAAGACTAAGGGAACTAAATGATGCTGCAGCTATTAATGGCAGTGAAAAAGAATGTAACAATGCACCAAAACAGGGGAAGAGCAATATCTTGATAAATAAGAAATTTATTCAAAATTCTATCTTTCTTTTAGATTTTGAAGTTAAAAGCCTATATGTAGTTTACAACAGCACTGTTACAGGAAGTTCCTTCGCAACTCTTGAGTCCTTAAAAGTGGTTCTGCTACTGCCTTTCCAGCACAATCAATCTACGGTCGAGACTTGCAGCTTGCTTTCAGGTGATCCCTCGTTAAAGACTCAAAAGTCGTAGCTTCAGGAACCTACAAAACAAAAAAAGAGTAGCAGTTTTAGGATTAATAATGCCTCAACTCAAAAATTCAAAAAAAAAAAAAAAAAAAGCAGTTGTCAAGATCATACGATGAAGTAGGGAGGAAAATAAACACTGATAAATAGAACATTATCATCATCATTATTATCATTAGCCTTACCTGTCCACTATTTATGATTACTCATTCTCAAGTCATTTTTATTTGGTATTGTATACAACAACAACAACAACAAGCTTTTATTCCACTATGTGGGGTCGGCTACATGAATCTTTTTTTCCATTGTGTCCTATTAAAAATCAAATTCTCGTTTAAATCGAATAAAGAAAGATCATTCCTAATATTTTCTAATCAAGTTTTTTTAGGCCTGTCTCTATCTTTCTTAACATAGTCAAATTTAATACATCTACTTTCCTAATCGGGTCATCGGAAGGCTGTCGTTTTATGTGACCAAACCATCTAAGGCGACTCTCTCTAATCTTATCTTCTACTGGGGCTACTCCAATCTTATTTGGTATTGTATGAGGTATTAAATTTATTCTTCATAATTTTTTTCAAAATTTTCATTTAGCCTAACTCCTTTTAACTTCGTGCAATCAATGCACAACACCGCCTTTGCCTCTTATATATGAAAGGACGACTCTATGGCATCGCATACTTGTCTCCTTCAGCCACCAAACTCTTATTTCTCCTCTGACTGAGAGTGGTCGCAAACTATTTTCCTCTCTTTCTTTTCTCACTCTCTGTCCTTCCTCCATCACAGCCATCTTCCTTGATTAAGCAAACAGGGATCATGAGCTTCTCCTTCCCACTAATTCTCAATCACAATTGCCACAAATCCTTTTCACCCTTCAATTGAGGAATACAAACTATAATCCTTCTCTTCTCCACCCTCTCCTTTCTTTCTTTGAAATTTTGTCATTTAATCTTCTCTGCTCAAACTAGTAAAGGTAACGAGTCTTCTTAATTTTGTAGTAGATTAATTATTTCTTTGATCATCAACTGTTCAGTAGATTAGCTTTGTATAGATCTTAGCTAGATTCATGAAATTGTCTGTGTTTTAAGATAATAGATTTATAGTAGATATAATTTATATTGTAGATTTAGTTTTGTAATAATAATTAACCTAAGTTGGTTATTGGGTAAACTATGTTGGCTGAAGTGCACCTATCTTAATTAAATATGCATTTTTAATGCTTATTTAAAAATGCTTATTTTTGTGCATGTATGATTAATTTCTAGTTAATATTATTTAAGTGTTTTTGAGTTGAAATTCGTCTATAATTGATCCCAAAGGGTATTAGTGGAGTTTTGAACTTTTGAACTAAACATCTTGAGTAAGTAATTTATTTATTAAAATATAAACATATCCATCATTGATTAGGACATTATCCTTGATACTTATACTGGGTTGTTAGATATTTTGTACGTTGTCAATCATGCCTTTAATCCTTAATTATTTATCATCTACATGTTCATAGATCTCTTATAATATACAGAATAAAATATCAAATAAAATAAATAATTATCTTAATTTATTGCAGTATATTCATGAATATGAATAGATTCATAAAACAGCAAGATCTATGGGGCATAAGCACATATTATTACACTATGGGGATTATGTATGCATTACAATAAAGTGATGGGGATGAAGTATAATTACCCCAATTTTATAATTATGGTAAATGATCACTCAAATTTTTGGGGTGATAATAATAAAAACTATGTTTTAATTTATATCTATCCTATATAGTTTGTGCATTCAATATGCAAAACATTACCTACCACAACCTCAAAGTCTTATTATAATTTTTTTAAAAGCTAGTAACTATTGCATTAGCATTTTCTTTGTATTTCAACATAATTGCTTATATAATGTTGAGGTTTGTTACCATACAAAGTCTTTAGAGATTTATAGGATTCGCATATGACTCTCAGCAAGTGGATTTTTACAATCCCATCGACAATGCTAGTTTTGTTATTCAACTGATTACAATTCCAATTCCAGAGTCGCCCACTATCAGATGACTATTAGGTCATAACTAGCAATAGCACTTCTCGCCCAACCTTCTCAATGAAATAATTGGTAAGATATTTTTTGAATTAAATATTTAACTCCCTCCCTCAACACATACTTCACTAAGGGGCTGCTCCCTCTTTAGTAATATAACAAATTATTTCTTCTAGAAACATGCTTCAATAATGGTCTGGGTTTGCTCTACTATAAAATGCTACAAAGTAGCATTCAGGGGACAAATAATCCCAATGTAATTGCATTTAGGCTAGGAAATTTCAAGGATGCAATATAATTGTAATTCAGAAAGTTGTGCATGCATAAACAACTAAAATACAACAATAATAAGTCTTTATCCCACTATATGGGGCCAACTATATGAATTATTTTTCTCCATTATGCCCAATTAAGAGTAAAATAAATATTTAAATCTAATAAAGAAATATCATTTTTTATACTTTCTAACAAAGACCTTTTAGATCTAAATCTACCTTTCTTAACATAGATTAAATATAATATATCTACTCTCCTAATAGGGTCATTGGTAAGCTGTATTTTATGTGATCTAACCATCTAAATTGACTCTCTAATTTTATTCACCATTGGAACTACTCCAACCTTTCCACATATACACTCACTTTGCATTGTCTTTAAGTGAAAGCAACTCATCCACCTGAGCATCCTCATCTCTGCAACACTTAACTTAATTTTATACTTCTCTTTTAATGGCCAGCATTCTGCGTCATAAAGCATTACGACCCTCTTATAAAATTCTCTTTAGTTTGAGGATACTTTTCTATCACACAATAGACCCGATGCATTCCTCCACTTCATCCATTCAACTTGAATTCTATTAATAATATCCCCACCTTTTTCGGCACTACTTTGAACAATAAACCTGAGATATATAAAACCTGCACACTTTTTAATGACTTAATCACCCAATATCACAATCCCACCACTAGATTTATTACTACGAAAATTATACTCCATGTATTCGATTTTAGATCTACTCTAATAGAAACCTTTAGACTCCAAGGTTGACCTCTATAATTCAAGTTTTTCATCAACTCCCTATCTAGTCTTATCAACAAAAACATCATCAACAAAAAGCAATCTAAATCACTTATAGCATGAAAAAAAAAATCATCAACAAAAAGCATATACCAAGGTACATCCTCTTGCAAATGCACAAACAACTAAAATAGCACAGTAAAAATAAATAAATAAAAAAAGTATTGGACAAGATAAGCATTTTCTAAGCAATGATGAATAAATAACTTAAGATGGGTTATTGTATGACTTATTGAGCACAAACATCTACAAACCTGCAGGTTTATTTTTCCAAGCCCACTCTTGTGAGACCTGAATCCCCTGGACAGAATGTAAAACAGTATTAGCTTAAAGGTTATATAACTAGAATTTACTTACGTGAAAATTCGTAAGATTAATAAGAGGAATTTTAGCATTTTGGTAGAATCAATTACAGAACCAGCTCCATGTAGCTGTGGATTGCTGATATCCTGGACAAAAGAATAGAGCATTTTTGTGAGGAGAAAACAAAGGTGTACAAAAAGGTATGTTTATCACATTAGATGTCCATTGTTAAGTACAAGCGGGCGGGTTTAATAAAAACTAAGCTATTTATGCATGTTAACAATGAAAACTGTGCTTACTAAATGATGTAAAAGATCTTTCAAGTTATCTATCAACAGAATGGCAAGAGAATTATCATAGAGGAATAAGAAAGAAATATGAGGTACGCCTTTAAACTAGACGACGACAACAACAACATCAAGCTTTTATCCTAATATTTGGAGTCAAGCCTTTTTCTCTATTGTGTCTATTATAAGTCAAATTATCATTTAAATCTAATAATAAAATGTCATTTCTAGTACTGTCAAATAAATTCTTTTTTGGTCTATCTCTACCTTTCTTAAGATAGGCTGGATCTAATACATCTATTCTTCTAACCAGGTCATCGGAAGGCCGACATTTTATGTGACCAAAGCATCAACGTGATTCTGTCTAATCTAATTAGCCACTTAAGTTACTCCAAACTTTTCATATATATACTGGTTTCACATGCCTTCCAGACTCGGAAACCACAAATTCACCAAAAATTAGTCAATTAGGCAGCTATATCTTGAAATAATCTCGTAAAAATGTATGATTCATTCATCTCAATTAACAGAAAAAAACTTCCTCTAGAAGACCCCATCCCGTGGCCACTTCTTTTCAAGTCATTGTCTCTTCTTATACTAAAATACTTGATACTACAGGGATATAAGCATGATGATTACGTGATTATGAAATGATACTCTAGCCCTAACGATCATGCTCCCACTGTAAACAAGATATTCATGACGAAGAGAATGAGGAAATCCAACAATAGGAAAATAAGATCATTTTTTTCCTGACAGCTTCAGATAAAAATTCTCATCTTATGCAATAAATATTTACTCTCATCAAAATGCACAACGAAAGAACTAATCCATTATCCATATCATCATATAACATCCATTTAAACCAAGAGATAGCAAGATAAAAATATACTAAGTTCAAATTCTTTTGCAAGGTTGGCAAAAGGGCACAATAAGAGTTATCATTATAAACTTTTGGCAATATCATTCATTCATCTGTTAAGGTTAATAAAGATGAAAAAAATGTACAACGGGCTATCAAAACTTGACATCAATCACTTCATCTATATGGTCTAAAACTTTAAATTCCTAGTCAAGACAACAGGTCAATAGGTACTACTCTTAGAAAGCGGTGGCACAATCCACTTTGTTCAAGTCTAATGGATTTAACATTCCTACTTGAAACAATACACAACATTTGTTTCAATATGATTGCAGCAAATAGAAGTCAAAAGTCTTTCACCATGTATTTTAAACAAAATATAAAAACTCCTAAAAATGAGAATGGGAGAGTACAAAACGGGAAATTTTATAACTAAATTTTATTCTGTGGTTTTGTGTAAGAAAGGATAAGAAGTTGATCATAAATAGGAGGAGAAATCACTATCAAGAAAATAAACAAATTTGGAAACCTGTCTTTATTTCTAGAATCCATAAATAACTAGACAACTTAAATAAAATATTGGTGTCCATGTATTGTTCAATTGCTATTTATACAAAGTTATTATCCACATATTATTAGATTTTTGTAGATGTAAAGTTGGTGTCCACGAATTATTGGGTTGTTGTTGTGGCCATAGATTCACAATTAGTATAAGCTGACATGCCCAACTTATTTGTTAGATTATCAAATTCTTTATGGGTAAAACTTTAGTAAGGGTATATGTAATTTGGGATTTTGTTGGAACATAATTTAGTTTAGCTCATTTAATTGTTTTTTCAAAGATAAACTGTAGTTTTATCCCAATGTGTTTAGTCTTGTCATGATGGAGAGAATTTTTTGCAATATTTATGACAGCCTAACTGTCACAAAACACTATTAACAGTTTTCTCACTTGAAAGTTTAATTCTTATAACAATAAACATATCCTTTCAGGCTTTCACAAATACTAAGTATCAATGCTCTCTATTCACCTTCAACATAGCTTCTTGAAACCACATATTGTTTCTAGCTTCTTCATGTAACTCGATTTCTATATACATAAGTACAATAGCTACACATGTATCTTCGGTCTTACATGTCTTCAACCCAATCAAAATATATGAAAATGTTAATTTCCATGTTGGAAGGACTTCTATAAATAGACATTTTCCAGTTGACTTCCATGGATCTTCGCTTCGGTCTTACATGTCTTCAACCCAATCAAGTTAGGCTTTTAAATTTATCCATCATCCCATCCATTTTATATTTGAATATAATGATCCATTTGCATCTAACCGATTCTTTTCTTGGTGAAAGATCAAAAAGATCAAAAAATTCTCATGTACCAATCTTTTTACGGCCTAGATTTCATCCATAAAGTTTTCATCCACTCGTGAAACAAGGGAGTGTTGCAAGCTCCATGACTAAGTTTCGAATATATATTTTATCCATAAAAATGACATAAGCACAAAATATAGGTGAAAACCCTTTATATGCCATGAAATTATAGATTAAGTACTTAGACAAGAATCATCATTTATGGATTAAGTTCACTAGTTTTTTTTTTTTTTTCACTAGTTTGTATTTAATTGGTCCTTGAACCAGGTTTAGGTTCATTGGAGATATATTAATTCCTCCCCTAGGATTTTCTTTTCCCTTCTTATATATACACGATGTTCATTCCACTTGCGTAGGATGTATTGACAAGGAGATGTGATAGTTTGCAGTTCTAGTACGACTTTAGTAGTTGGATGGACTGATTAGGTACTAAGGAAGTTTGCCATTCTTATGCATCATCAATAGCTTGAATGATGGGCAATGAAAAAAATTCAAAATAAATTTCATCCTTAAAATTCTTATTCTTAAATTTAGTCATCCTAAATTTGAGCTTTGAAGTAATAATATAAGTGGTCAAGCAAGCATAAATTTTTCAATGACTCAGGAATGCATTTGAACCATTTTAATTTGGGGAGTATCTAATAAAGATACCCTTGATAGATTTTAGGTCAAATTTACTCTGGCACTGACAATGAATGTGAATGAAGACTAAATCAAAGACTTTTGTAGAAATAAAAGTAATGATTTTGCCTTTGCGAAATGAATAGAAAAGGGTTTGAAATTTAAGTACCCTTGAAGCATTTTATTAATGAGATATATAATTGTCAAGATAACTTCTCCTTAGAGCAATGAGGAACAATTCAAACCACCTCTAAGAGGTGTCTATTTTTCTTTTTAACAATCCCAATTTGATGAGGTGTGCCAACACAGGAGTTTGCGCGAATATATGAAAAAATTAAAGAAATAAATTTAATGTCTCTTTAGCATCATGAATTTCTAGAATTTATATTTTGGACTGAAATTGAGCGTGGATCAAGTTGAAATATCTAAAAATCTTTCCTACAACAACAACATCAAGTCTTTGTCCCACTACGTGGGGTTGGTAATATGAATCTTTTTTTGCCATTGTGTCATGTTAAAAGTCAAGTTCTCATTTAAATCTAATAAAGAAAGATCATTTCTAATATTTTCTAACCAAGTCTTTTTAGGTTTAACTCTACCTTTCTTAACATAAGACAAATCTAATACCTTAACTTTCCTGATCGGGTTTTTTTTATCTAAAAATCTTTCCTACTTGGCGTGTTTCTTTCATGTAGGAAACTCAAATGAAATGAGCATATCATTAATAGAGATAAAATATCCAACTCCAGTGATATTTTTACTATAGATGAACCACACATATCATTATGGACTAAAGCAAAAAGTTGGGAAGGTTTATAGGCTCAAATATGATAAGAACTACAAGTTGTTCGCCTGATGAATATTTTAATACTAAAAGTCTTTGAATTTTTGTTGGTGAATAGAAAATGAATTATTTTTTATGGTAACTAAATTGGGTGTCCTAAGAAATGGTGTCAAAGTCAATTATCAATACCATTATTTGAAGCATGTTAGGAACATGAAGGAGGAGCTTTGTGAAAACACAACCCACGTTTGACCCCGTGTCTTACTCGAGGTTTAAATCTTTTGTAGGTAGAGTCATGAATGTATTTTTATAAAGTTCAAAACTTAAAAGTAACTAACTAAATGAGAAATTAGCACCACAATTTTTGTCTCTAATGAGTTTGTTGATTGATAATAATTTGTAAACTAGGGTAGGAACTAGAAGCATACAATCAAGTGCCATATCTTTTGAAAAAAATGAAAAGCCTATTCAAATCACTTTTTATGGTGACTCATCTGCAATTTGAACGTTATAATTTTCATGAAATGGGCTATAATTGTGAAAGAAATTTGTCTCCTACCATATGATATAACATTTTGAGTTTACTATTCAAGTAGACATTTTCATATTTGCAAATATAGTATACGAGAAATTACAATTTTAAGAAACTACGCTTATTCTAGTGATATTCTGGAATAAGCTTCAATTTGGATAATAGTTCGCTGTCTTCGCTTTGTTGTATGTTTGACTGAAACAGGAAGGAGAGTAGCAATGACTTATTTTTGTTATTGATTCTCTTCAAAAAAATTCAATCAAGTGTTTTGTTAAGGATTTTACATATTTTGAATTTTAATTTCCCATTTTGAGGTTGATTTCCAGAGTTGGAGTTGGGACTTCTTGGCCACTAACTTCATGTTAACTGCTGCCGTTTTCTTTCAAAGATGTTCCATAACATATATGTTTGCCACTCTTGCTAGACAAAGACTATCTTTTAGCATCACTGAAGAAGGCTTGTATGAGACTCCATGTTGAAATATCCATCAGCCTCACAAGAAGTAAAATCTTAATGTCTTTGATACCATCTTGAAAATGAAAATAAGGAAATAGTTAAAAATGGGAGATTTTTAAAACTGAAATTTATTCCTTTTTTGGGTTTAAAAAATGAAGATAAGAAGAAGGCATACATAAATAGATGAGAAATAACTAACATGAAAATAAATAAAAAAAATCTGAAAACTAATCTTTAATTATGGAATCCAAAATTAACTGTAAATGAAATTTTGATATCCCTTTTTTTATTTTGAAATTTTGATACCCACGGCTTAATGAATTGTTGTAGATTAAAACATATCCACACATTATTAGATTATTACTATGAAAAACTGTTGTTAATAGATTATTATATAGATAGAAAGTTATTGTCCATGGATTGTTAGGTTATTGTAGATGGAAAGGTGTAGACCACAAAATCAAAATTATTTTAAGAAAAACAATAGTTCTCTGGCCATTAAACATTCCCTTTAACCTCCTTCAATGTCAGCAGCAGCACAGCTTTGCAACATGGGTACCATGCCATTATACAAAACATGCATAGTGTCCACTCAGCACAGCTTCTTTGATTTCAAGCAGTTTTTCTCAAATTAAACTTGATGAACATTGTAAACAGCAAACAAACAATTTATTGCATTCATACAATAATTTGGCATATCAAAGAAAAGTAATTGCATCAGATCATAATTCACCTGAACAGTTTGATGACTAGCCGCACCAGATGCCTGATGATACTGAAGATGAAAGGCAATAAAATTTAGTCCAACAAAAATTGTTGACTCCTAAACAAGAAGAAATATGCAAGCCAAATTTTACTGACAACTAAAGAAGGCTGAAGGATCTGCAATTGAGTTTGCTGTCTTGGCTGAATTTGAGGCTGTACTTGTGTCTGAGCCACTTGTTGGACAGACTGGACCGGTGTCTGAACCTGCATCTGTGATGCAGTTTCAGAGGGAGATTTAAGTTGTGGAGCAGAAATTTTCTGTTGCTGAAGCAGTAGCTGCTGCTGCTGCAGTAATAGCAACTTTTGCTGTTGTTGTTGCTCAAAAACTGTTAACTCTTCTGGTTTCTCCCACTGTGAACCAAAACTTATTAATCACTTGCAGATAATACACAAGGTAAAAAAAAAAACAATATCATAGTAAAGGTAAGCAAAGCAGAAAACTTACTAATCACCAAGAGAAAATAAATTTACCTTACTTTCACGAGTGACACTATTGTAGTAATATTTAAATCCTTCAGGAGAAGTATGCTCTGTCCAGTTGCAAGTTGAAGTAACTGCTCCAGAAGGTGCGCTTAAAGCATGTAATGGGGCTGCAGATATTGTCGATGGGATAGCAGTACCATGCATACTAGCAGGAGTAGTTGTAGTGGCTGGTGGGCCGGACCATGGCGACTGTTCAGGCATTTTACAACAGAAAATCTCTTAATAGTAAAATAATCTAAAAGAGCTCTGTTCTACCAACTAAAGGGGAATGTAGGCATTCATAACAAAGATGTAATGATAGGTGAAAAAGCCTACTAAAATATGCAGCATGCTTCTACTTAAAACATAGATAATTATTAAAACTTAAGGATTCAGACAGCCAAAGTGATGAGGACATCGACAGACGCTACCGACATGTTTATCGCCGGCGAAACCGCAGATCGACGGCCACGATTCAGCGTCTCTACTTTTGATCTAGATGACATGATGTATTTTATTATTATTGTATTGTTTGATTTACTGTTTTCCCATTTTACCCCTGTGGGGAGTTATGTTTCTTTGTAGCCCAGAGGACAATTTAGTCTTTTTCACTTTTTATGAGTCAAGACCTATATATAGTGGTCTCTTGTATCATTTTGAGTTTAATGAATATTTGAATGAAATTGTGTTTTATCTTCTTCTTCTTCTTGCATGAAAGCTAGAGAAGGGTGAGAGCTCAAGGGGAGCAAATCGCAAGGCCCACCAGTCGTTGGAAGAGTCCTCGACTCGTGGTTTTCTTCTTTTATTTTATTTGTTTCCTCATCTCCACATCCTCCCTCACCCTACCCGACGGCATCCATAGCATCACC